GAAACCATGTTAAAGGATAACATTGTTAAACATATAAAATCACATGTATTTCAAGATCAGAGACAACATGGGTTTACTTCAGGGAGGGTATGTCAAACTAATCTTATTGATTTTTTTGATTGGGTAACTAAAATAATAGATCAGGGTGGTGCAGTAGACATTGCTTACCTAGATTTCAGTAAGGCTTTTGAAACTGTTGCACATAGAGGTTTTATCCTGCAATCCATGAACCAGTTTAGTAACCCTTCTCTGAACTCTCTCTAGAGTATCAATATCTTTATGGAGAAACAGTCTCCAGTACTGTGTACAATACTCCAAGTGAGGTCTCACTAGGCTGCCTGACAATCATTTTAGCTTGCCCAAGGAGGGCCGATTCCACAGGGAGCACTGTTTTAGTGGTAAAGGGTCCTTGTGCCTTGAACATAGCACTATTAGGTGGACATGGATCAAAGTCAAGTGCCCATACTATCACTACTAATGAAAATACCATATTACTATCCCAGCTATGTTTATAACTGTGACTGTCTATCTATCCTTGTATTTCTCAGAGTATTCTGTATATACAGCAATTGCCAAAAAAATGTGATGGTACTTTCTTTCTCCGACCTCCAGGACATCTATAAATTACAATCTGAACAGGTATTTATCTATTTACAAATTAAAAATGTTGTTCCTGAACACATTCAGGCAGGGTGGGAGGACGACTGTTTAGGCACAGGGGATCTGAGCAACTTTTTAAGTGGTGCTGTGCATCCCCAAATCCCTTTCCTTAAGTCCTGTCAAACCCTGCAATGGATAAGAAACTTTCTTATATGTCCTAGGGTGAAGAAGAAGTGCTAGTAGCCCGCTGGATTGAACTGACAAATGCCCTAAAGGGCGTTATAAATTGTTTTACGTATCATCGGAAACATTATATATATAATGGGGACTCTGTGTTGGAGAGGTTTTAGACAGATGGGCGGTATGGTGCATATCTGGTGGGGATTCCCTGTTCTCAAACTACTTTGGAAATCTGTAGTTGCTCTCCTGGTGCCAGCTGGGTCTATACTACAATACATCAAAACAATACACGTTTTTAATTCTATACATTTTTTAAAAAAAGATGCAGCACTTTGTGAAATAATTGAAATTGTTTCAGTTGGACTAAGTATTTCGGAGATCAGCGTTTGTTACCCCAAATGGCTTTTGATGGTTTTCATATCAAGTACTAACTAAATTGAGTGTAAATGTTTTTATCTTCATGTATCTTGCAGAAGGAAATCTAGTCCGTAAAGCCTCACTCACCCTTGTTTATAATCTAGGTATTAGTAACATCTTGTAGAGAAATTTGTTCCTATGCTAAAAGCCACTAGTCACTGAAATAATGTCTGAAAATGTGAGTTCATTAGCTGCTTTTGAACAGTAAAGGAAGTTTCAGTTGATCATTTCATGCCTACAGTAAGAGTGAATGGATTGTAACATTTCACTGTTAGTATTACATTAGTATTTGAGACATAAATGATTTAACTGTATTTACTGTATGTGGGCATTATGCTCTAATTTATACGTTATTTTTTTACATTCTGCTGCCTTTTTAGTAAGCTGTACTGCCAGTAATGTCTTCAATGTCTATACAAATACCTATAAGCAAAGTATTTGACCATTTTTATTCATGTAGTTGTCTCACATATAATGTATGCGAGACAAATAGCATTTATGCCTTTATACTAACATTTCAGATTTTATTTTGCAAGATAATGGACACTGTGTACTGTCTAAAGCTTTTCATTTTCCAAGTATTTTTATAAAGAATAAACAAGTGTAACATTTACATTTTCATTCTTACATTTGTGTGCAAAACAGTGTATTATGAACCAAAATGCTAAATTGTAGGCCAAAATATTGGATTTGATAAGTTTTACAAGTCAGGTGTATTCACATCTCATTTTTAGCCTTGAATTTTTCCGTTCAATGTTCACTCTTTAGTGGAGTAACTGTAAAGTGTTTAACTAGTTAGCTAGTCCTCTTTAAAATTCCATCTAGCCCTTAGTCTGGGTAATTGTACTATACTACTTTTATAGTAAGCAATCATCCCTCTAAACCTGGTTAAAGGACCACTATAGGCACCCAGACCACTTCAGCTTAATGAAGTGGTCTGGGTGCCTGGTCCAGCTAGGGTTAACCCTTTTTTTTATAAACATAGCAGTTTTGGAGAAACTGCTATGTTTATAAATAGGTTAATCCAGCCTCTAAAGCCTTTAGTGGCTGTCTCATTGACAGCCGCTAGAGGCATTTGCGTGCTTCTCACTGTGAAAATCACAGTGAGAAGACGCAAGTGTCCATAGGAAAGCATTATGAATGCTTTCCTATGAGACTGGCTGAATGCGCGCGCAGCTCCTGCCGCGCATGCGCATTCAGCCGGAGAGTACAACAAGTAATGTCAGCTCCTAACGCTGAAGCACCATTTCCTTCCAGTAGGTCCTCTTCAGCTCCTGGTGCTTTAGCAACACGAACCGGCAGCACTGCAGTACTCTTGCGCATGCGTGAGAGTACAACAGTGATGTCGGCTCCTGTGGCTGAAGCACCAGAAGCTGAGGAGGACCTGCTGGAAGAAGATGACAGCTCCCATTAGGGACATGTCCCCCACATCCCCAACACTGGACTTCCAGTGGCAATGTCACTATCGGGGATCTTTGCAAATTATGCAATGTTCCCAGGCTGAGAAGTCTCATGTTGCTGCTGTTGAATATAGGAGATGTCCTCGTTCCAAAATGTCAACATGTGGTATTAGAGAGTGAATATTTTTTGTTGCCCCTGATTAAAACAATATGTATTTGTCTTGAAAGGTCTGGAGCCAAATCTAGTCCAGATAGATGTGACAGAGTCCTCTTTATAACTTATCACTTGCCTGTTGCTGCGTGACTCAGATATTTTCTTGTTCTTAACATGACTTAAAGCTACACTAGGCAATCAATAATGTAAGCAATGATATTCACATCACTGAAGGACTTACTGGAAATGACATTGCATTGGTTATATCATCCCCTCTGGAGGATACATAATAAGGAGCCATATGTGAGCAGACTACTAAGTAAAAGTGATATGTTCTGAGAGACTTAAATTTAGTATTGGAGAATGTACGACACAGTACCTTAACCATTTACGCTGCAAATTGCACCCCTTAAGTAGTTTTTGGTGCAATCAATTAGCTGTTCCTTGGTGAAGCACAGAGACACATGTTGTGTAAATTGTCACCATAACAATCACTCCTTTTGGAAGGGCTAGCCCTGAGCAGATGTACTTTTAATATTATTATATATTTATTATTGCTTTTCATTCTATGTTCTATAGAGGCTTGGGTTACCACTATCTTCCTGACACTTGCCCTCTTTAGTTAGTTAGTCTAATAACTCACGTAGTTGTTGCCTTGAGCTAGTCTGGTCTTTTTATAGATTTGTCTTTTAATGTCTGCCTGTATTTCAACTGCCAGTATTTGGTTACAAAATACAGACGTTTCTGTGAGATATTACATGTTATTTTTCCTGTATAACTAAATGCATATTAGAATTTTTGTATTTGTTTTTACACTTATTATTCCTTATATTACTTGAAAGTATTTCTGAATGACTGAATTTGCTGTTATGATACAATTTTCTTGACAAGATTTGTCAAGAGTGTTGACTTGTCACATTTGCTTCATGTCCATTTCACCATCTAATTTCATAGTCTGATAATTTACTGTAAGCCATGTTGGTAGCTCATTGCCCTCTGAGTGCCTTTTTGAAATGTAAATTACAGTCCATATGTATTTGGTCAGTAAAGGCATTGTTGTCATTTGGCTCCCTGTTTACAATATCACTGTGCTTGAATAATAACCAAGAAGATATCAACTTTTTATTTATTTATTTATTATTTATTTATTTATTTTTCAACGGCTTATGCAAGCCCATTAATAACATTGCTGTACATTCCTGTGGCATTTAAAGTCATAGCACAAAATTTGGATAAGTAGTTATAGTCAAGCTGTAACACACGTTGAATTATAATTCTCAATGATACAAACAAGTGGTAGGAGTGTTGGGTTAATCAGCACATGTTTAGCAAAATTACTGTAGCTTGTCCTACATATCTAGTAACAGATGTGTGGCATAAAGAGTCAGCACAATTTTTTAAACTATAATGTTAAACAAGAGAACGTGCAGGTTAGGTTATGTTATGCTCGTTCGAGTGTTGCATAACATGCTTATCCTGGTACATTTGCTTTTAATGGAGATAATAGGTAATGCATAAACAGGTTAAGGTAATTCAGCGCTTATAGTGCATGCTGGGTAGAGTGAATGGGGGTCATTGGTTTCAGAGTAGGCTAAGACATTTAGGTACAGGCGGGGAAATTGCCTTTGGCGATATTGCCCCATTATTTAAAATGAGTGGCTGAGGGAATGTCGCTCGTTCGTTAAGTGCATCTGGCAAGTAAACAGTGACGTTGCAAAACACAGAGCAATAACGATGTTCTAGTCCAAATGTAAATGACCAGTAATCTATAATCATTAACTATTAGGTTGCCTGTGTGTGCCTGCCGGATCACATCTGGTGGGATTGCAGCACGCGTCGCCCTCGGGTTGAGAGTCTCTGTGGTCTGCTCATCCGATGCCCTGCAATGGGAGGCTGCAGGAGTGTGTGTGCCATAGCTCAGCTAGCTGTGTGTGTGGGCGCCTCCAGTGTTGGGTTCTCAATGGCGGGTCTGCGTATCCGCCATGGCGGAGGTTGGTTAGTGGGGAGTGTGATAGTGCTGCGGTAAGTGAGGTCTGCTGAGTTATCTCTCTTGTCGGCCAGTGTGATGTGAAGCAGGGTGTTTCCTGCGGCTGTCTGGCTTGGCCCAGGCATTTGCTGGGAGTGTGGAGGGTTCGTTTCTCTCTGCGTCCTTGCTTAGGTGCTTGTGATCTCCTTGTGTGGTTGCTTGTGTGCGGGAGGTATTTCCACCTGTGGCGCCATTTTGGTGCGCTGTCTGGGTGAGGGGTACCTCACTTGCGGAGGGGCTGCTTGGGTTTTTTGCTTGTTGATCGCATGCTTGCTTTGAGTCGCCGTGCCCTGTCCTCTAATTTCACGCAGAAGGCTTCACAGATGGCGTTGAGCCTGGTCATGAGGTCCGGGTGCACTGCTGCACGTTCTGATGTGCACGTGGTGTCCGCTATTGTGCTGTACTGTGCGACTAGGTGCCGTGTCCCTGTTGCTTCTTTGTGGTGGACCGGGATGACCTCCGCCGGTCCTTGGGGGGGAGGTTGCTTCTTTGTATCTGGTACCCTGGTGTGGGATCGGAGAGAGCAGCTGCCTCTCCTCATCTCCCTCTCCCGTGGGCAACAGGGTGCCTTGTTCAGGTCGTGGTCGCCCAAGGTGCCCATGTCTGGTATTGAACGATTCCCCAGGACGCTCCCTACTTGGGTAGCATGCCCCGGCATGGTTTCAGGCTTTAGTTAGGGTCTTGGTGCTATTTTTGTGCGATGTTTGGCAAGAGCTCTTTCAAGATGCGTCCGTTCAGTTTGCCGTTCAGGCTCCGCCCCACTCAACTTTATTTTGAAGGTAGTACTGTTAACATAAAATATAAAAATAAGTAGAACAGCATTCACCAGGAGCTCCCGATAGCCAAGAGGGACTCACATCTGGAACCTCTCTCTCTTCCAGCTATTAAAAAGACACAGTTAAATATATTTTTTAAATTATTGTATTTTTATTTACATATTTTATTTTCTGTTTCATATTTTTACTCCAAATTTGGTGTTGAAACAAACAAACTTCACATTGAGGCAATTTTATAAAATGTATGTGAATTTAAATGGCACCAAACCACAAGTGTAGACAATTATGCTTTTCCAGGCCTTCACTACAGCTGTCTTCAATTGTTGTTTGCTCGTGGGTCTTAAAGGACCACTATAGTGTCAGGAAAACAAACTTGTTTTCCTGGCACTATAGGGTCATTTGCCCCCCCTCCTTCCCCATCCTCAGAGCCCCCTACCGCTGGGCTGAAAGGATTAAAACCCCTTCATCCACTTGCCTTTCTCCAGCGCCGGGCTCCCTCAACGTTGGTGACCTCTCCACCCCCTGCCGACATCAGATCCGAATGCGCATGTGCCGCAAGAGCCGCGCGTGCATTCAAACCACCCCAAGGTTTGAATAACAAAACTTGTTTCATTGTCTAATTATTTACAGACCTAACTGTATATTATTCCCATGAGTGACAGAATATGTATGGAATGGTTATGGTTAATAATCAGCATTATCTGATCTGTGGTTGGGCAGCATTAGTCCCGAAGACAAAATGAATGACCATTTTGCTTCTTGTAGAGAAACAGCCATTCCTTCCATTGATTACCGGTGGCAGAAAAATCAATACAGCACAGAAATAAACTGCACTTCTCATGCCAGAATGACAGCATTCTTGTGTTCGAAAATATCTCTCACAAAGCTACAGCAAAAGCAACCTTTTAAGTCTCTTTGTAAGATCTGGTGTGGACATCTCACCAACTCACAACCAATAGAACGCCTGCCTCAGAACCACTAGCTAACAGACCACCTGGTCGTCAAATATCAGCAGCCTGCGACCGTGGGCTCCCTGCACCCCTTCTGGGCCGGTGCACAGACGTACTGGCCCGGGAACCGCGCTTGTCGACAGGAGAGAAGAGCTGTACTGTGCTGCTCCCCTCCTGCCCTGTAGGGTACCTGAGCAGTCTGACAGGAAGTGCTCACTGATAAAGCACTGCCTGTATGACCGGGAACCGCGGCTGGCAGTGAGCAGGTACAGGAGGGGTGTGGGTTGGGGATGACACCCATGGATGGGCAGGGGAGGGGGGTTTGGTAATGATATACATGCAAGGGCTGTGGAGGGGGGTTGGGTGAGGTAACACACTTGGAGGGGCTGGGGAAGGGGATTTGGGGGTGATACATGGAGGGGCTTGGAGGTAATACACATGGAGGGGCTGGGGGGGTTGTGGGTGACACATAGAAGGGCTGGGGAGGGGGTTAGATAATGACATACATGTGGGGATGGGGAGGGGGGTTTGGTAATGACATTCATGGAGGGGCTGGTAGGGGGTTTGGGTGTGGAGAAAAACATGGAGGGGCTGGGGGGTTTGGGGGTGACACACATGGATTGGCTGGGGAGTTGTGGGTGACAAATGGAAGGGCTGGGGATGGAGGTTTGGGGGTGACACACATGGAGGGGCTGAGGAGAGGGTTTGGGGGTGATACACATGGAGGGGCTGGGGAGGAGGATTTGGGAGTGGCACACATGGAGGGGCTAGGGGGTGAGGGGAACACACATGGAGGGGCTGTAGGGGTTGGTAATGACACACATAGGGAGATGGGGGGTTGGGGATGACACACATGGAAGGGCTGGGTTGTTGGGAATGACACACATGGAAGGGCTGGGTTGTTGGGAATGACACACATGGAAGGGCTGGGTTGTTGGGAATGACACACATAGAAGGGCTGCGGGAGTTGGGAATAACACATATGCAGGGTCTGGGGGGAGTCGAGATCAACACACATGGAGGGTCTGGGGGGAATTGGGAATGACCCACATGGAGGGTCTGGGGGGAGTTGGGGATGACACACATGGAAGGGTTAGGAAGGAATGAGATGCATGGAGGGGCTATGGGGGAGGGAATGAGTTCTGTGGAAGGGGCTGAGACATGTGGGGGGAGGCCCAGGGCAATTTTTTGCCATGGGGCCCAGTGATTTCTAATTATGCCGCTGCCAACAAGTCTAAAAAAAATACCTTAGTACCCCTGTCTCAAGAAAGTCATTTCTATTGATTTAAATTCAAAATGAAACATGCAGACAATAGGTCCCCACCCCCTATTCCAATTTAGGGCCCCCACCTGTTGCTCATGGCACAGGTGGGGGCTCAGGAGGGGGAGACACTTGTTTGTTTTTTTTATAGTGAGCAGCCACAGGCTGCTCACTGTTTACAAGACATGCCCCTACTCACGGTATAGCAAGTAGGGGCAGAATTTAGAATAAGTAATCTTTACTTAGTAAAATGGACTAAAAGAGCAATTTAGGTCTTTCAGTCTTTTTTTAGATAGCTCCCTAATACCGTGGGAATTAGGGAGTTATCTACTAAGTGGCTGCAAGAGAACATATCCAAAGTCCCAAACTGAACCAAAGTGCCTAAGTCATGAATTTTTGAAGTTCCGACGTGCCGAAGTACCCAATTTCGGAATGCCGAACTGAATATTTTGCAGATGCACATCCCTAGCAGACACTGATATTTAAGTTAATCCCATATTGTAGAACAAACTCGATTAAAGGTAGTAAAGAATATTTTAAAAATAAATGTGACAATGTAAAAATTGTGTATGTAAGGAGGAGTGTGTGAACTAATAATCTGAAGTATAAAAGTCACAAAATGGAAATTTAATGCACACATAATAGTTACACACGTTTACACATAGAGGACACTGACACACACAATTACTCACAGAGGAAACTGATACACATACATTTACACACAAAATACCTGACACACACACACACACTGACAGACACACATTCATTGACTTGACACACCAGTACTGACAGACACATTTACTGGCACACAAACATTCACTGACAAACACACATTCACTGACAGACACAAACACATTCTTTCACACAAACTCACAAATAATTATTTTTGGGACAGAGCTGGATTCTTTCCCTCGGGTCCAATGGGGATCTTTTTCCTGGGGTTCAGTGAGCGGCTGCTCTTTTATCTTCATGATCTTCCAGCTCTGCTCCCTCAAGTGCGTTGTTGAGCAATGCCGGGGCCGGGGTGAGTGCCTTTAATTTAACATTTTAAGGCCCTCTTCAACTACTGTAATATAATTCAAGCATGTTTTGTTAGAATTCATTGCTTCTCTTGTTTACCTATTGTACAGGATTATGTTGGCACTATATAAATATTTAGAATTGTGATATGGGGGTTCTGTGTCATCTGTGTCAAGTGGTTTGAACCCAGTGCTAAAAATGTTTAATAACCCAATATGAATAATTCTGTAGATCACACATGCTCGATTTTCATGGATGAAAATCCATGAAACTAAATGTTAATAACTAAACCTATGTTTTCACAAGGGGACTGTTATGTTCTGCCTTCTGTTAGATCATCATCTTTGATGATCTTGGGTCAGTCCAGTGCTTCTATTGGAAAAATTTTGAGGACCCACTGTGCATGAGTGGCAACAGTTCTGCTTTGCCATTCAAATTAATCTTATTGTATGTAATGATGCTGAACGTAAATACCTTCAATTTTTGAACGTCTTATGGAGGAAGGGCCACTAGAGGCATATCCATTGGGAAATATAAACATTGCCATTTCTTATGAATAGTAGTTGTTTACATTGCCACAAAAAAGGGACAGTGTCAATGAACCAAAACCACTACATTAAGATGGAATGTTATTGGTACTTAGAGTTTCCTTTTAATGTGTGTTGTATAAACCTTTCGGTCACGGATTCTTATCCCAGTTAATTTTGTTCAGTCTTTCATTCTTCCAGAGTTTACAAGATGAGTATTACTTTAAAAAGTAATATAAAAAATGTATCATTCCTTAAGGTTCTTTTTTTAACATCAGTAAACATTTCTCATCCAAAGATCTGTTCCTTTGTTTGGCAAATAAGGACATTTTGAATGCAAACAAAACACCACAAATTCTAAAGTCATCTTAGAACATGATTGTGTTTGGATGGAAAATTACACTCTTTTTACATTTTACACTGTGTTTTTCATTTAATCCCATATCAAATGGGCCAGAATAAAATTAATTGTCTATCCAACCATTCCTGACATCTAATTGACCTGCACCATGGTTAGTTATCTGTTCCAGATTATTGTCTACTTTAAAATGTCTTATATGAACTCCAAACTTCTTGTCGCTTTTCATGCATCCATCAGTGTTTCTTCTCCCTTTTCCATTACGGTGTTTCCCTCTTTATGATAGGTTTCCTTCACCCATCTTGAAGCTCAGCAATTCAGACTGTGTGAATTGCAAAATACATTGACCTGGAGATCTTTGTTTCACCATAGATTATTCCATATTCTACATGCAGGCAGTTTACAATTCAATGTGAAAAAGTAAGAATCCATTTGTAAAACTGACATGCTAATCTGCAGCACGTTTTATACAAAGGAATTGTGTGAGTGCTCAAAAAAACACTAATCGCGATTTGAATAAAATTAATAAAACTCTTTACATCTTATTGATGGTAACCATATTGCAGGTTTAGTTTGTACAATTGCAACATTGTTGATGCATATAGCAGCCTGCACCCACTCTCAGCTCTAAGACAGAATCTCAGCATTCAGAGTGCTTAGTTCTACCTTTCGCATGACAGTTTTGCCTAACCTGTGCATGTGAGGTAAGCCGCATTGACTTGAGCTAAGCTCGGTCTCATCCCAGGAGAGAGATTGGAGCCATAGACTGTGCATGTGCAGACAAGCTGGCTGCCATCAGTTTAAAGAGCAGTTCCACTAATTCTCAGTGATGACTGGAATGGGAAAGCTATATATCCTGCAGGGACCTGTCTTTTTCTGGTTAGAGAGGTTAGATAGCTTCAAAGCACACAGCTAAACAAGGTACGGGTGTTCTTTTTTTATATATCATTCCCCCTCCGCATTTTTTGTTTTTACATCATTTGGTGTAGGTTGTTTTTACATGATTTGATGATAAATAATCTTTGTGTTTATTTGAGTGAGGTAGAGTTTACTATCGACATTATTACTGTTCAGAACCATGGACAAGGAAAGGAATTTATATAGACTCCAGTCCTAGTTTCCTTTAATAAGACCATGTAGTCAGTATTCACTCTGTTTTACTGAGCAGTTTGCTAGGCTATGACATCATAACCTGTAACTGCCAGGGGCTGTGACTTGTAAATAATGATACTAGAAGTGTTTTCCTGTTGGAATAGAATTCTATATATGCACTTCTTATCTGGCTCCTTTTAATATACCGGTAATTTAGGCTATTTTATTATTTTGTAATTTACACATACTTCTAAATTTACACAGATGTAAACGCCTGCACTAAAAAACAGGCACATTGGTATCAATTATTATTATTATTATTATTACATAGTTACGTAGGCTGAAAAGAGACTTGCGTCCATCAAGTTCAGCCCTCTTCACATTTGTTTTTTTGCTGTCGATCCAGCAAGTGACAACATAGCAGCTCTAATGTTTTAACACCTTCATGATCTAAATATGCACAATTTATAGCTTCCCAGAAAACAGTTGCCTACTATATGCTTTCAGCGGGAATAGTTAAAGCGATTCAGTCACATTTTAGGTTTTGCTTTTAACCCCTTAAGGACACATGACATGTGTGACATGTCATGATTCCCTTTTATTCCAGAAGTTTGGTCCTTAAGGGGTTAAATGAATCATTTAGCAAAACCTAAAATGTGACTGAATCGCTTTAACTATTCCCGCTGAAAGCATATAGTAGGCAACTGTTTTCTGGGTAGCTATAAATTGTGCATATTTAGATCATGAAGGTGTTAAAACATTAGAGCTGCTTGGTTGTATAGGGAGAGGTATTAGCAGTAGAAAGAGGGAAGTGCTCATGCCATTATACAGAACACTGGTGAGACCTCACTTGGAGTATTGTACGCAGTACTGGAGACCGTATCTTCAGAAGGATATTGATACCTTAGAGAGGGTTCAGAGAAGGGCTACTAAACTGGTTCATGGATTGCGGGATAAAACTTACCAGGAAAGGTTAAAGGATCTTAACATGTATAGCTTGGAGGAAAGACGAGACAGGGGGGATATGATAGAAACATTTAAATATATAAAGGGAATCAACACAGTAAAGGAGGAGACTATATTTAAAAGAAGAAAAACTACCACAACAAGAGGACATAGTCTTAAATTAGAGGGACAAAGGTTTAAAAATAATATCAGGAAGTATTACTTTACTGAGAGGGTAGTGGATGCATGGAATAACCTTCCAGCTGAAGTGATAGAGGTTAACACAGTAAAGGAGTTTAAGCATGCGTGGGATAGTCATAAGGCTATCCTAGCTATAAGATAAGGCCAGGGACTAATGAAAGTATTTAGAAAATTGGGCAGACTAGATGGGCCGAATGGTTCTTATCTGCCGTCACATTCTATGTTTCTATGTTTCTATTTTCAAATCCTCACGTTTCTTCTTCTTCTTTATTTATACATAAGAAAAAGTAGGGACTCTTGAGCAGCAGTGGGCAGTGGTGATTGTCTGAGCATGTTAGCTGACCACTTTCAGACTACCACCACCACTATTGCTGGTATGAATTGGAATGTCTAGAAGAAAGAGTGTAGTCTCTGCCTTTGCCATAACTCCACTGGTGGATGGGTTGTGAGAAGCCATAAAATCTAATTCATTGTTAAACTGTTCAAAGTTGTTTAACACTGAATAGAGAGATGGCATCAGGGGACTGTAGACACTATAACTAATTAGATGAGATGAAATGCTTATACTGCCTAAAGTGTCCTTTAAAGGAAAATTCTATTTCACTTGCTAAGCTACTTTATCATCAGTCAAAAGGGCAAATGCAAGCATCATGAAGAGAAGTTGAACATAAGTAAAGGCACCCAGTTATTGGGATCCGGTACAAAGAAATTATAATACATAAAAATAAAGACAACAAATACACAGATAGGATAAGCATTATAGTGTAGATATGATAGCAGGCAACAAAAACTAATAGTAAGGATTACTCTCCACCCTTACTGAGAACTATAGAAAAAACAATATACACAAAATATAGGATGAGTCAATATAAAATCTAATTAGTCCACAGTTGCTGGTGTCTGTTCTCAACTGGTAACCATCCAGACTTCAAATGGTGAGAGCATGTGGGAAAAAAAGCAGAAAATGACCAGTGATGGTGCAGAGTGTATGGAACTAGGTGCAGGACATGCAACAATAATCTATAAAGGTATATCACTCACATTTTAGAGAGCTATAAGACCATCTCTGAGTTTAAGAGCATGCAGCCGTATAATCTCTACTGAGGGATATATAGATCTGGGGGCTGGTGCCTCAATGTATGGTTTGCTATATAAAGGATAAAAACAGTGGGGTGAAGGCTAGCAGCAGAGCTGACTGTTTGCATGGCGTTGGAGCTCCTGCAATCTGAAGCTATTAAAACCCTAATTTGGACAACAAAAATCAACCAAAGCAGCTGTAAACACCTGGCAGATGTTTGTTGGCCTTTCAACCAGCATGGCAAGGCTTAAGTATTTTAGACCTTTTGAGACAAGCACACGGAGCTGCTAGGCCCAAGATGGCAGACTACACTGAGACATATTCCGAGCTTTTGAATGTTTTTTCCCTGGGAGAGGAAACAACAGATTTACCTGTCACAAAAGTCCCAGCACCAAAATCCCCATACCCAGATACAGCACCAGTAGCAACAGAAGTGCTCAAAAAACACCTGGCAGACCTCCAGAACACCTCCTATTCGAACACTACTACTACACCACCTACTTACAACAGGAGATCCAAGGGCTGCAATGATTAATGATGATTTCATTGAAGAATACAATTGCAGATTTGCAGCCCTGAAGGACGCAAGCCGGGCAAACGATCTGAAGGATACACCAACAGCCATATTGCTGCACCTCGTATGAAGGCTCTTGACAGCGTTGCTGTCACAGCGGCAGGCTAAGGCCATATGCATCTTTCGAGCCCCAAAGCTGGCCAGAGCCCCAACTACAGCTCCTCATAATCCGCTTTCAACAACGGAAAGACAAAGCAGCAACACTGGGAGCGGTTAAAGACTGTACTCCATACACGTTCGAATTGATGTTCATCTAATTTTTCATGGTCCTCTCTGGTGTTGCTTTAGCCTGGAAATCCCTTAAACCATCTACTTCCCTTTCAGACAACATGGCATACAATATCGATGGCGTTTAAACCACTCTCTAATAGTCATGAAGGGCAAAGACAAACACGAGATCTTTGACCTGCAAAGAGCACGGGACCTGCTACCTACACTGGAACTTTCTCAAGACTCCATACAGTGTATAGAACCCCACAGTACCAACTGACCCCCGCACAGATGGGACCCGGAGAGGTTGACAACCTTTGTGCCACGACAGCCCAGACAGGGCTCCTATGCAGCAGCCACCACCTGGAGCTCTCATAGTGCCTTATAGCAGCGGAATCTTCTTTTTTCACACTTATGTTTTGTTATTTACCAGCTACCTCTCATTTATTATCTCTATGATTTAAACATTAAAACATTTCATGCTGACTGCAGTGTAGCTCAGCTCCCAAAACGCATATCGAATGGTTTATAACCTGTACCAACATCCACCCCCCACCTGCTCTAGGCCTTGGCCGGACAACATAAATAGTGTCATAATAGTCAGGCGGTAAATTCCTACCCTCTGTGTATATATCACACCAGTTGGAATAGGTAGATAATGGAAAAATACAAAAGATACCGCACTCAAATATATGCAAAAAGTGTATTTATAAATATTAATCCAAGAACAAAAGTATTCCTTTACTACCAAAGTACATAAGGGGGAAAAAGACTACAACATATGTAAAGCCCATAGGGCAACTAATCCTGTGCCTGTATATATAAGTATACCATAGCCTAAATGTAACACAGTGGATCTATGCAAATATAGCCAATCCAAGAACACATAATCAAATCACAATGGTACCACCCTCTGATTAAGGCAGCGCTGCCTTAATTGTCAAATAACTGAATATACAAAAAATATGCATATGTGGATCCATATAAGGGAAAAGAAAAATACAAATTAAAAAAAAAGAAAAGAAAAAGTCTGTATACAGAAAATATTTTGAAAAATAAAAAATAATAAAAGAGTAAAAATTAAAAAGTGAAAAAAATCAAAAAATATCAAATATAATATCAATTATGTCAGAAATATGTATAGCTGAAGCGGTTAGATCTCATCCCATGCATGATGATATAGTCCTGAGCTGATAGGTGAGTATGTGGAGAGACCAATGGACGTGGTGATGATGGGTGGGTGATCCTTGTATTCAAGTATTACATGTGAACTGGAAATGCACTTCGGCTGTGGGCTATGGGACAGTGAAGTCCTAAGTGCGCAGCCCCCCGACAGCCCAGAACACAGAGTGTCAGCAACATTTATCCCTTTGCCTTAGCATCATCTGGTCACCTGGCTACCTGATTTACATAGTCCATCAGGAATCTTTGTGTACTGATCCCCATTTTATTTAATAGCATTTGTGTGCTTTGGCAAAGCCAGAACTCTCCTAGTAACCAAAACATAGCAAATTACAACCACACTTTTGTAAACATATTTTCCTTTTTTTTTTTACGTTTATCTTCTGGATACCCTTAATCTCATCCCTAATTTTTATGGCTGTCATTAATATACAAAGCAAGTATTTTTAGTCAATATTTGTAATTAAAACCTTAGATAGATCAGGTGACTTTCAGTAATTCTGGCAAGATACGATAAATGGTAGCTAGATTAATCCTCAGAATGTCTTTTTACTGACCACTTTGCAGACTGTATAACCACAAGTAGCTGCCTTGCTAAATGTTCTAGATTAAAAAGGCACTTCAGGCTAATATTATGCACATACTATCTTATAAAACATATTAATAATTGAAAAAAAATGTAAAACAAGATACCTACTCAGGTTATTTCTGGATCTACAACTTCAGCAGGGGCCACTTACTTGGCTAAATAATGTCTGAGCCAACCACAACTTTCTTTGGGAACATCATGTATATTTTGTGTTTTTGCAGTTCAAGTGTAAATTTAATGAAACTTGTGAAGCCTATGGCAGGAGGCGGGAGCAATTCAATAAATTCATAAAAACCATAAGTTAAACCACCATAAATACTATGGAAGTGAGACAAATTACACATCTCATTGTAAAATGGGAGATAGGGACAGATAAGGTGTGCAGGAGTACCGTGATCATTTTATATGATTTGTAAACACTAAACAAATAGATGAAAACAAAAAAAAAGACCAGCTAATTGTTATACCAATATAATCACCAATACATTGCACATGTGGTGTGCCAGTTGCTTAGGCTGCCTATAAATTGTTTATACTTTTCTTTACCTTTGTAAGTTGCAGGCTTGCCACCCAGGCCTTTGGAAAAAACAAATTGTTTGTTTTAAATGTTGTTATGTTTCATGTTTGTGTGCAGAATTATTGTTGGGAAGTGTATTTTTATGATTCTTCAAGAAATCTTTAGTGTGAAAATCCTGGGAAACAAAATCTATTTGCACTTTAAGACAAAGCACACATAGCTTCCCTGGCCGTGCCAGTTTTTGGACAGTGCTTTTAATATTCGCATTGCTTTTTCTGGACACAATGTTGCCAGTTGGTTCCTGCTACCACAATGGATGCATTTGTTTGAATTCTGAGAATTCCCAGACTAATTCTTTGCCAATGTTGCTGTCAAAAGGCACTTATCTGTAGGCCATTTTTCAAGTGTATTTCCAAAGACTTGAGACTAACAAGGAGAGAAAGCTTGCTGTAAGATACAAACAGACAGTCTCTTCATAAAAAGTGAAAAATCACCCTCACTCAATTGAGACCAGCATTAGGCTTTTCTATAGCAACACAGCACCACAATTACAATTGGATTGACTTGTGTGGTTTGGATACACTATGCCCATGAAACAATTTCTTAAAAGTTTACGCCGTGCACAATAACCACTTAAGTATGTGCATGCATGTGCATGCCAGAGGTGTAACGCCACCTCTAGAAGCGTAATTTGTGTCTAACTAACCATCGTGGAACAACAGTACCATGGTTAATAGAAATTATGCGCATATTTACATGAGTTTCATTCATTGGCTGAGAACTCAGCTGAAGTTGATGGGATTGGCTTCCACAGCGTATAGGTCACCTGACACAAAAGCAACCCAGTGGGACCCAGCTAAGAGGTTTGCTCCATTATGGGGAAACAGCGCCAAGGTACTCGCTTGGAGTAATCCTTTAAAGAAGTCAACCTTCATCTTGATTTCACAAAATGCTCTACTGAGAAAGCCAACAGCCAAATACCTCTGTTTAGAGTCTCTGATAGGACACGTTAGGATAGTAATATTAAGATATTGTGATCAGAAAAGTGGAAGTAACATTCTAAAAATGGAGAGATCCCTATGGAAAGCAAAAACATGGAACAAGCACATGCAATCAATTAATTTATGTGGTGACTTTAATGCTGAGCAATTGGTTACTGTCCTAAATCTGTCTGGAATGACCTGAATGTGCACCCTTTTCCCATCATCACAATATTTTTCTCATGGGATAACAGAGAAAATTCCCTTTACTTGCAGCCAAATGTGCTTTCAGCAGAGCAAAATGGTTCCTTGGCATTGCTTTATCCTGTGAATTGGCAGGCCTGGCTGGCAATCTACTTGTAACAACATACCTGTTTACCTCCTGGGACAAGTGTGCTAGGATGATACACTATATAAATGACTAATTATGTTTGTTGCAAATTACATCACCCTCACACTCTAACACATACTATACCCCACGTCCCACATCTCATTGTAGCTCATTGTAGCTTGCACTCCCTTGCATTATGGCTGTAAGGTTATTGCAATTGGTTGGGTTGTTGAAATCATTGACCCATTAATTTCTTCCAACCACCTACCACACCGTTACCACTTTATTGATTTACACATAATAATATAAATAAACCCCTTAAAGGTTTACTACAACCACCATTACCACTTCATTGATTTCTACAGAATAATGTAAATAAACCACTTAAAGGTTTATTCCAACCACTATTACCACCTAATTTATTTAAAGTGGTCATGGTGCTTGGACTCTGTATATTTCAGTTTGAAAGCTGCACATACAGTGACGTAGCTCAAGGTTGCTGGAGGTGCAGCCCAGAGCCAGTGTTCCAAATAGTGGTATTTTTGTCCAGGTGAAGATTGAGGTATGAATTAAGTGCCATAGCTTCAAATAGTTATTTTTTTAAAAAGATCAGAAGGGAATTTAGTGTTACATTCAAAATCAATTTTCCAATCATTATTGAAGCTTGTTTGGTCTAGCTGTATTGGTTTAATGCAGTCTCAAGCCCACAGCTTAAGAGTTAAGACTTGATTATATTAAGTTTAAAGTAACAAACATGTCCATGGATGGACAACAAGGGGTTTGATAGCATAAGTAAAACATAATCTACAAAAAGATAAGCTTAATATTATGTTGGCTATTCTGGTGCTATGAAAGTGAATAGTACTTTAGATCATTTCAACTAGAAGTTCTAAGGCCATTATGTAGAGGAGAGGTGAGACCGGGCACCCCTGTCTAGTGTTATTTGTGTACACAAAATAAAACCTGCAGTCAAGGCCTGAGGGCAGTTGTACATGGGAAGCATTGCATGAAGGAATCTGGCTTTTTTATATACCTACCTAATAGAAATAGAGAAATGATAGAAATAGAGAAATAGAAAATAGAACAGAAATGTACAACTTTTCCATTTTTCTAAATACATTTGCTCTAGAAGGAGGGGGAGGGTTTATGAAT